GTAAAGAATGACCACTTAAATGGTATGCATTTTTCCTATTGATTTTCGATGGCCTTGCAAATTCAAATATATGTTATAGAAACCATAAACGAAAAATGTGTTTTTTCTTGGTCGTTTGATAGAGAATTACCTCTTCTTTATATTTTATACCAGAAGAAGGATTATAATTAGGTTTCGAAATAGTTTTCTAATTGCCAAATAATTTGTAGCCTTATCATTTGCTGCACTAGCGCTTAGATATTTCAATCTACAAGGTGTATGTGCTTCGCATAAAGAATATCACATATTTTTCTATGCCTTTTGAAAGATAGCATACAGAGTCTATCAAATTTTGCGATGGATGCAGACTATGTTATACATTTCATGAGTTGTGGTAAGCGGACAGGTACGATGCTGTGTGAATGGACACTGTGTGGTCTTAAAAAATCTCATAATCAGAAAATTTTGAAAACCTAATTATACTCCCTCCTTGAGTATAAAATGTAGAGAAGACATGATTCTCTATTAACTGAATGAAAAAAACATATTTTTGTTTATGGTTTATATAATAAATATTTGAATTCGTAAGATCATCGAAAATCAATGGGAAAAATGCATGCCACTTAAGTAGTCATTCTTTACCGACTGCGGTTTCTACAGTCGATTAAAGGTAGTGTATTTTAAAGCTGACATCCTGCCAAGTCCGTAATGTTATAAGATTATGCCGCAAGATAATCAGTATTACAACATCGCCTAGGTAATCTTTCCAATCGAAGACGCATTTCAGAATTTCAGCCAACATTTCATGAGATCGGTCACTCGCTGTATATGCAGTTTATGCAGAACTCCGTGCATTATGGCCCTTCATTCATTAATTTGTTTTCTTTAATTAAACAGATTACCGAGCATCAGTCGAAAACTTATTGGCATGCAACGCAATCAAATTTTAACGGGTACTCACACATCAACTGCTTGAAATTTGGCTTGGGATTTTTCCAATCGCACAGAAAAGATACATACCTGATTCATATTGACCCAACTGTAAAAAACTCGTCGCCTCGGTGAGATTCGAACCCACGCAGTTAGGGGAGGGCTTTAGTGCAGCTAACGCTCTAACCACTTGAGCTATGGGGCCCCGCCGGACGACTCGAGTTTCACCACATTTGGGTCGAGTTACCCGCCCAACCTACTGCAACGTCTGGAATCCACCACATCTGATACAGTAGGTTGACCGTCCAAGCAGGATTTTCTAAGTAATTCAATAGAATCCACCAGATGACTACCAGGCTCACGTAATTCACAGCGTTGGCTGTACTATAGCCCTCCCCTTACTGCGTGGGTTCGAATCCCAGCAAGGCGCCGAGTTTTTCACAGTTCGGCCAATATGAATTATTCAAAATCTGCCAAAACATCTATGAAATACTTATTAGTTTACACATCTCAGGTGCTATTTTATCCTAGCATTCTTTTAATAATTTCCTCCGAATAAATTATATGCTATCTGTATCTTTTATTCGCTTTCCAAGCAATTACTTCTTTAGACCTTAACTCTGAATGGCGGGCGAACCCAATTCCAAAAGTATTTTAATGTCTGATTATTGGAACATTCACATGACTTTTTATGCAGTCTTATCTTCGCTTATCTAGTACTGATGTTTCCAAAATAAACATCGACCGATGTCCACGGCAATATATGTTTGCTATAGTCGAAGCGTTTGTCATTTAGTTTGGAAATCCAAAAACCACAGAATGCTCTTGTTGTCTTTAGAAAGACATAGGTTACATTAAACCTTGATAAGCATAACTCTCGGACATAACTTTAAGGAAAACGTAGCTTCTTGTAAGAAATGCGCAGAATTAATAATAGGATAGAAGTAAGCATTAAAAATTCAACTTTATACAGTGCGTACGCAATTATTTCTTCTTAGTTTGACCAGTGAAATTGGCTAAAACGATAGTCGGTGAGCAATCTCTCGTGAGTGACAGCCACCCGTTAATTAGCATAAAATATTTACTTCGGTAACTTTTTTTGCCCGAAGGTAGATCAAAAACGCAGGCTCATGATTCGTCAGTTTTGACGCATGCTACAGATATGTACGAAATTTTCCAGGAATGTTACTACGACTTGTCGGAACACTACTGGATGTATGATGAGACTGTGGCTGTTACAACAAAACTTTTGAGCGGGAACTTTAGTTTATCCAGGTAAGTAAATAAATCATAACAAACGTTTTAGCGGGAGTTAAAGATGGATTTCATAGAAGACATTAAAACTAATGAAGACCTGGCTGATTCGAACTTCGCTGTCTGCTCTGCCTTCATTCGAATCCAAATCCTTTAAAAGTGTATGCAGAGACCCCACTCATCAACACTGAATTACTCAGTTTCTCATATATCGCCTTGCGTTTTTTAACGTTGAGAAAACTAAGATGTTGCGCGGGCGACGCCATCTGGGCCTGGTAACGCAGGTATGACTGTGTGGATAGACACTACCAGTAAGAAGTGCACTAATAGTCCCTGCCAAACGTATCAATGGACCTTTGTCAGTATTTCTACTTCGACCAGTCCTGGCGCCCAGCTTTCGTTCGTCCCTCAAAGAAACCCTGTACAGCACAGCCGACAGACCCCAATAATCTTCCTCGACCGGTGAGTCAAACCAGATGGGGGTGTCCGACATGTATGTACCTTTACGCCCGGTAGTCCCTGAACTACAGTGCGTGACCGATCTCAGGAAATGTCGTCCGAAATTCCGAAATGCGTTTTCAATTAGAAAGGATTACTTAGATAGGGTTGTTATACCGATTATCGTGCAGCATCACCATATGACGTTTCGGACTCGCTAGAATGTCGGCTTTTGAATGCACTCCTTCTTGACCTCCTGCAGAAACCATACTCGGTAAAAAATGAGCACTTAAGTAGCATGCATTTTTCCTATGGATTTTCGATGATCTTATAAATTCAAATATATTTTATATAAAACGTGCGCAAAATAAGCTTTCTTTTACTCACTGGGTAAAAAATAACCTTGTCTTTGCTTTTTATGCGCGAAGAAATCGTATATTTAGGTTTTAATAAAGTTTCCTGATTCCCGAATATTTTCGAGCCTGATCTATCATTGCATCAGCGTTCAGTGATTTCAGTCAACAAAATGCATGCCTTCCATGTAAGGAAAATCATATATTCCTCTATGTCTTTAAGAAGATACTGCATAGAGTTCATAAAATTTCACAATTGATCCGAACTGTGTTGTACATTTCATGAGCAGCAGTGGTGAACGGACATAAGCGGTTCTGTATGCATGGACATCGTACGGTCTTAAAAACTAATGATAAGAAACTTTTTAAAACCTAAATACACACCTTTGTCATGCATAAAATGCAAAGACAATGTTATATTCTACGATATGAGTAATAAAAAGCTTATGTTTGTGCACGTTTTCTACAAGCTTTACTTGAATTTATAAGACCATCGAAAATCCATAGGAAAATGCACGCTACTTCAGTACTCATTTTTTTACCGAGTACGGTTCCTGCGGGAGGTCAAGAAGGAATGCATCCAAAAGCCGACATCCTGGAAAGTCCGAAATTTTACAGGATTATACTGCATGCTAATCAATATCACAATCCCACCTAAGTAATCCTTCCTAATCGAAACGCATTTCGGAATTTCAGCCAACATTTCATGAAACCGGTCACGCACTGTAATTCCTGAACTCCCATCCATCTCACAAATTACAAGTCCTATGTGCAGGGCGATACGTAATTCCGTATGCGGCCCAAGCGAGCTCGGATCGTCACTCAACTAAACAAAAGTCGTCACTCATAGTGGAATTGGGCAGCCGCCTGAAAGGACAGAGCAGTGCTATTTAGGGCTAGCACTGCTTGGACCTTCTTGGAGGGAAAGGCTAGAAAGGAGTCCTAAGTTTGCTAGTAAAGCACGTCGCCAAAATGCTAATCGTGGCTTGTGGAAGCCAAAAAATGCGATCGATAAGAAAACAACTTCCGTCCCTATCCCTGTGCCTCCCCACAGGCTGCCAGGTTGACATTGCTCACTCCTGAAACCTGAAATGATCGTTCCTTTTAAGACAATCCAGTGAGAAAACGTCCGGAAAAGAAGAGGACTCTGATTGAGGCGAAGGGGCCAGCCATAAAGTGGACTTCGCAGCTCTTAGTAACGCCCACTTCTCCGAGCAGGGTCAACAAGAGGTGGTGGGTGTCGGATACAGCTTCTTCTGGAACTGACGTCCAGTGGGACAGAGCGGCGTGATGCCGGAATCTCCTTCAACATCAGAAACGACGTCGTAAGACAACTGTTCTGACTGTCGCGATGCGTCATTGACCGTCTTATGACCATGAAACTGACATTCCGGAGGAACAAAGTCGCCACCATTGTTAGCGCTTATGCTCCCTCATTGATCAACTCTGATGACATGAAGGAAAAGTCCTGCAAAGATCTGCACGCGTTTCCAGCAATCGTGGCGAGGGCGGACAAAATGGATGTCAGTAGTGACCTCAGTGCTGGCGTTGGCACAGACTATGCCGCATAGGGCAACTGCAATACCAATAGCCTTCTCCTCCCGTAGACCTGTGTCGAACACAATCTTCTGCCGATCAAAGCCTGTCTTCCGGCGCAGGAGAAGGCGGCGTCACTAACATCTGCTGCACCACGCCCCAGTTCGGAGACGTGACCGGCGAGACGTGCTCGTGACTGAGGCGATATACGGTGTTGGCTGCTGGACGAACCACCGCCTTGTCACCTCCAAGATGAGGCACCAACCGTAACCGCGCAGGCGACCGCAAGGCAAGTCAACATCAGGGGAGTTATATCCTGCATCACTTGCTACGGCTGAACGCAAATCGAATTTTGGCAACTAAATGAACTCCAGTCCGCAAGAAATGCAAACCTTGGAGGCGCATACCAATGTCAAACCCAGTGAAGGAATCTGCAGACTACCATCGGGGTCACCACGATGAAAGCCCTCGGCCGCGAACGCCGTCCCCACCAGGATTAGTTTAATTACAATGACAAAGGAATCCTCACTTTTTTCGGAGATACCGGGACTGCCCACAGCCTACGCCATCGGCAGTAACAATGGCGGCAAGGCCGCATGCTTCCGATGCGGGAGGAAGGCGTTGGAGGGAGCCGCGGGATGCAGTCCGGGCCGCCTCGATGGAAGACGCCGACCGCACACGCTGTCAGCACCAGGAATGGTTTGGAACAACGACAACGAAATGACCCTGCTCTCAGAGAAGCACCATCTACATGCAACCAACAACATCGACAGCAGTACGCAAATAAAGACAAGTATTTCTGATCCTGACAGCTAGTAGCACAGAGGCTGAGGGAATGCAGGGCGACTGGCTGACTAACGAAATCTGGGAGATCCACGGATATGACGACCGGGGTAAGATGAAAAATCTCCACATTGTAATCAAAGCAGTCTTCGACCCACAAGCCGAGGAGACTGCGCCACTGATAAACCAGGATAGCGTGACCCTTCAGATGCAGAAGTCACAGGTCCTGGGTACGGGGTCGAACGTCTCCAGGGGCGTTCTTAATCATCCGTTGACAATATGCTCAGAAGACATCAATCGACTTCCTCACGTGGAGAGCAACGGCGATCTCGACCTTCCACCATTTGTCCCTGAGACAGTCGGAGCAGTGCAGCAGCTCTCCAGATGTAATTTCAGCAAAAGTTTACAAGTATGGCGATGGACAACTAATGAAGAAACCTACCTTAGCATGCCAGAAGACGTTACTTCAAGCACAAGGCCCACAAGACTTCAGGGATACGCCAGGGGAACCGGCAGCAGGGCAGCAACTGCAGGGATACTTTTCTTCAAAACATCACAAAATATTCTTGCCTGTCTTCCAAGTCAACCGAATAGCCGCTGTCAGGGCGGAGAGATAGACCCACAAGATTCAAGTTCTCTGAAACGTAGACGTCAGCACCCTACTGGCCTTGCTGGTCGTTAGCGGATCCAGCGTGATGTCAGCATGACTATAGTGCTTCTCATCTCACAACACATCACCACTGTCGCCACCACTAGCAACGCCAGTGGGAAACTCCTGCCGACCCGCAAAGCCGACACCCTGGGGAGTCCGAAATGCTATAGGATTGTGTCGCATGCTAACCAATATTACAACCCCTCCTAAGTAATCCTCCCTAATCCAAAACGAATTTGAGAATTTCAGCCAGCATTTCATGAGACCGGTCGCACACTGTAGACTCCGTGGCACTATAACGCCTGCCAGATCCGAGTCTGATGCGCCTTGTGGCGTCTGACACGCACAGAAGAACCACTCTAATCCTGTGCAGCACTGCACCCAGTCTGCGGGCTCGGGCAATGTACTGCGACAGGAGAAAAGGCAGAGAGAGCGTGTGATCGACTCTGGAGACTCCGTGACCATGTTACACCAGCGTTTTCCCCACAATAATAAAATAGACGTTCGTGAATATCAAAAAACAAACGCTCAAAGCCGTTGTCAGAGCAAGAAGAACAGTCAGCAGCTAATGGCCTCACAGTAGACGTGTTATCTCATGAAATGCTAACCAAGACTCCGAAATATGACCTCGATTCGAGAATATTACTTAAGCGGGGCTGTAATATTAATCCCTATGCAACATTATTCGAAGAAATCTCATTCACATCAGGATGCCGGCCTTTAAATGAGCTACATCCTGTAAAGACGACTTCTTAAATACCATGAATCTTTCCGATTATTTTTCGATTCACTTATAAATTTACATACCTTACGTAAAGGACATCTAAAAAAGGTTTTCCCTTGTATTCATTTGGTAGCAAACTGCGTACTTTTCAAAGTTTCTTCTCAAAAAGGGCGCACCTTTCAGTTAAAAGAAAACTTTCTCAATCCCCTTGTAATGTTTTGGTTCACCTGTCGTTACACTTGCATTCCGGACTCCCACATTCTATGGTGTATATATTCTGTCAAGGAAATACCACCAATTTCCATATGCTATTAGGAAGACGTCATATAGGACTCATAGAATTTTTCAAGGGGTGTGAACCAGGTTATAAGTAGTATGTATAAGTAGTCCTAAGAAACGTGCTGGTGCGACGCTTCACGAATGAAAATTTCGCTGTCTTAAAAATCTTATGACTAGAAACTCTTCGAAAACCGAACTATACTTCATCGTCAAGTACAAAGTCTGGAAGAGACGCGATTCGCAACCAAATAAGGGCATGCAAGAATATTTTTGTGCATGTTTCCTTTATGATATAATATTTGAATTTATAAAAGCACCAAAGGTTGATGGGAAAAATTCATCCTGCTTAAGTAGTCATTTTGCAGAGGCTGGTTCTTGTGCACGATCGAAAAGGGTTCGTTCAAAGATGAGCATCCTGATGCGACCAAAATATCTAAGGATTATGCTGCGTGTTAAGAAATATTAAAACACTTCTTAAGTAACCTTTTCGGATCGAAAACATATTTCGAAATTTCAGAAGATGAAACGTCCACCGTGCTCTGGTCTGCACAAGTTATTACCCATCTCTTATGTCTCGATATTCTTTGACCGGGTGGTTTCTGAAATTTTGTTACTTCACTGTAAACTTCACTCATCGCCTTCTGTCAAAACGAGAAGAATTCCTTTCGAAATATCTCCCGAATTATTGAGTTTCCAGATGTGTGTAGTGCTTCCAAAGCAAAGCTGCTGTTATACCTTAATTACGGACGGAGACGACCGTTCGAATTTCGTACCCGCATCTGGATTATTTTAAATCCCTGGCACGTGCGGACGACAAAGAGAACTGCGTCAAAATTTTGCAAATACACACCTTGCGGATTTTTACAAAAGTTTAGAGCGACCGCAGTACATTTGGCAGGAAATGAACTTCGCCTTTGATCTTAACTGAGATTTTTCGACTAAGCATATACATCACACGAAGTATCTGTTTAGGAATGACACCGATTCCAGCGCTGAAGGACAAAAGATGGATTAAAGAGTGTTTTTGGCGATTTCTGTCAGTGATATATTATGTTGGACCATCACCAGTCTTCTTGACTCTGTCATGACACCGGGTTTAGGTGAGCGAGTTAGGAGAGAGCGCGGTAAATTCTGCCCACACTACAAACTAATTCACACGCAAGTTACTGCTATGGAGCACACGATGGACCTTGTCGGAATCGAAGGTCAAACCGATTCTGGACGGAATACAGACTTAATTTAGTGTATATAGTATTTTATGCCTATCGTCGTTCAGCTTTGGCCAGAAGACAGAGGCATTAGAACGAGTGTGTTTTGGACTACAGTGATTGAGTGCGTGCAGCCACGGTAACTAGGTTTATGTTAACTAATCTTAACTGATCGGCAGTCTACGTTAGATGCCAAGTAAAGGACAAAAGCTTCCGACGATACGAAGAAAAGAAGTCGCCTTCTAATGCCTCGCTAGTAACGAACCCTCCTGCTATACATTCAACGGAGTATTTTTTCGAAAAAATCTTTATTGGATGTTCTTTGATGCCATAAAGAAGTGCCTAACTGTTTTATAACCTAAACAAATGTTTGAACACGCATTAAGCAGCTCACAGGCTTCAAGAATTAATTCGAAACTTCAGTCAAATAAAATGTTCCAACGATCAGTTACCGCCCGTCCATCGGTTTCCCGTAAGTAATTTTTCCCTTGTGTCGACAAACCCAACTCGCAAAACATGCTAGCCTCGTCATGATGACATTCGAATTGTAGGCTGGTTGATCGTACAAAGAATCAAAATACATCAGTTATTTGCTAATAAACAGACGGGGGATGCGGTTAATTTGGCAGGACGCCGATGCTTTCTGACAAAACGGTATACCCTGCGCAGGGTAGGAAAGGACGTAATATAACGACAAAAGCAGTCGATAATTCATTAAAAATTCATTTAATTAGACGCTTGACTGCGCAAAGGAAAGCCACATAGCGAAAACTCATGATAACCGGGAGACAATAATTAATTCAGCGAATAAAAGGGAATGCACGCGATTGCCCGGAACAGTCGAATTTATCTGAACTTCGAAACTCGCACAGCAACCCAGCGCCCAGAAACAATGAAGCATCAGTACCGAAGATGCAGTCTCTTTTTTGGTCCATCGCTGACTTCAACCAGGTGTGTTCTTGGTTAAGAAGGGAGCCGCAAAATCTGGCAGTGTGCGTGTATAGCCTGATATGTGGGGAGAGACTCGGTCCCTATGCGGCTTCGGCTGAAGGGGTGACTTGAGTCCGAGACTATCCCGACACGTCAAGCGTCGTGGATAGGACGGTTGCTGATTGACGCCCGCTCTCGGCTCACGCAGTTCGTCGCGTTGTGTGTGTTGTGTGGAGTGGCGGACTGGTGGGCTGGGGACGGGCTGAAGCAGCACCTTCCACGGCCCTCTCACGCAAGTGATAGACACGCCGTTCAACCCCCGTTGTGTGAAATCCTGGTGTTTGTGCGTGTATGGGGGGCCAGGTCGTGCTGTGGCGCGCGCAGGCATGGTCAGTCGACCATGTCAGCCACCGCGCCCATTTCCCACTCCAGTTTGCTGACCGGCTCGGAAGGCGGCTGGGGTGTGGGGATGGGAAGGCAGAGTGAGGTCGACGATTCAGCGCACTTTCCTCACTATAAACAATCTGACGCGCTTGAAGCTATCACGGTGCGCTAAAAGCCGTGGCTTGTATGATTGCCAACTAATGGGGTAACTTGGACCTCCTCCTTGACCGGTGGTGGTCTGAGAGTCAGGCTCCAATGGCTCCTTTTTAATGTGGCCGTTATGGCACTTCCACCACAGCGTGGGATCCGAGCCAGGCGTTGGCGGCACGCCTAGGTGCGGCTTCGGTCGTGTCAGCCTCCAAAATCTTTTGTGTTGGTTAAAATCCTGGTTATTTGTTGTGTGGACCAAGGGGTGTGGTGGAACGCCAAGGCGAGGATCCGTCCGAGCCATCCACCTGCGGCCTCCCTCGTCTCCGGCCTTCTTGACTCTGTCTTGACACCTGGCTTAGACGGTGGAGGAGGAGGAGGAGGAGAGAGTGCAGGTAGATGCAGCGCAAGTCTACCGGCACTATAAACCCCTGCTCAAGTCACCGTCCCTGCTCTCACCGCTGCTATAGCTATGGGGCACACGGTGGACATCGTCGAAATCGACGGTCGAACTGTCGTTTCATGTGGGGAGAGGATCTGTATGTAAATGTACAGATTTGCTGCCACAGGTGCAGGCTTCCAGTAGCTCTCTCTCCCTGTCCTGTTAACTGTGCGTGCCATTATCCGTCTGCCAGCGACATCGGATTCACTGTCCCCGTCCGAGACGTGGGCAGTGCCTCGGCACAGCGAGCAGGTCACCCCTTCAACAAACGGCTTGCTTGTGCTTGCGTATTAATGCGCCAAGTCGTCGTGCCGTCTTGCCTGGGGGGGGGGCGAAGGCGACTGTGGCATGGAATCTGATAAGGTGCGCCAAATTACCCCTCTGATCACAGTCGTTCCTTCAACCGCATAATTCTTTTGCGCATGTGGTAGTTGCCGAACGACGGGCCAAACTCTGCTCTGTTGCCGCTGTGGCCGAAAAGGCTAGAATTTTAGCGACTCTGCCTCTACTCTTTGTCCTCCGTGGGCGTGTACGAAGGCAGCGGCTAATGAAGCCGTTTCTGGGTAGCCGTTTCTGATTGCTGGGCGCGGTTGCTGCAGGAGTGTCCGTACTCCTTTCTCCGTGACGCTGCGGCGTGTTTTTATCTTTCAACAGGAGCTCTAACACAACTGCACTTGTGTGCCACTGGTCTCGGCCACGATATATGCGCATATGGATTGTGTTAAACACCTTTGAATACATTGTGGCGCAGTGGGTCTGCATCTGACGTGGACGTCCTCAGAGAAACGATTTATCAGACGCGGACGTTGGGCTTATGGACTTTGGGCCATCCATAGAATCCGGTCAGTACTGTGTCATTCGGTTGTATCTGCCGCCGTTGGCTTGGAAAGAGTATGTTTTTGCGCCTGAGCTGATTCAAAACTCAAGTAAGCTGACTGATCATCGGTTTGACGAACGGCGGAGACGTGTGCCCCTAGGAGTACTAGTTAATGAGGAAGACTTTCGTCTTCTTCCTTGTAGTTGGTGCTCTCTCTTAGTCAGCAGTCCGCACTGTGATATCCAGAGTTTGACAGAACCTTTCAATCCAACAGATTCAATAAGAATATGGTGAGGGTAATTACATGACTAAATATCAAATTTAGTCCGCAGAGCTCGTGAAACCAGTGCGATTACATTCAACGTTTCCGAAGATTTCTGTCATGTAGTCCTTCTTAAATGACTGGATTAATGTCCGCTCAGGTTACTTTGAAGAAGTAGAAGAAGAAAGTTTGCTATTATTCCTGTCTGATGACTGAATATCTCTTCGTACCCTACACTTACATTAGGGACCCCTCATAAGATATCGCAAAATTCGTAAGATCAGTCGGATGATCGGACGTACGTCCCTAGAGCGGATCACGCGGTAGAGGCGATGGACCAACGCAGGGACTATATAGGACTCCTGGGGGAGGGGTTAACGGGAACGCGCACTCAAAAATACTTTGGGTGTGGCGGCACGCCCAGCTGCAGGCTCACGTCACGCCAATTTGGGTCCGTGTCGCGCCTTATTTTCGTTATAATATAAAATCCTGATCAGTGTCCGCTGTGGACCAGGAGGTGTGGTGGTACGCCTATGTGGGGGTTTGCGGCGTGTCAGCGACCTGCGTCATCTCCCATCTCCAGTCTTCTTGTTAACGGATCCAGGCAGGAGAGGAGGGGCGGGTGCGGTAGATTCTACACAAGTCCACTCTTACCTTAAACAGATTCACGCGCCAATCACCGTCCCTGCTCTCACTCTGTTGTGGAGTACAGGGCGGACATACTCGAAATCGACCGTGGGATTGTCATACTTGCGTGAATCAGTTGCGAAGGCCTCGTTCAAGCGAGCTCAGCCGGTGATGGAGGGAAAAGTTCAATCCAAGTGGAGTTAAACAGACAGCTGGCGGAATTTCCAGAAGAGGTCAAGGATGTGCAGAGGAAGGAGCGATAAGAAAACGGGAGATCTTAGCTTATTCTAGTATAAAGTCCCAAAAATTGCTTTAAAATTCAGCTTTCACAGTTAACATGCTTTTTCTTACGTTATTAGTTATTTTTCCACCGTATGTTCTTAACTCACGTTTTGGTTTGTTGTTAAATGAGCATGTAAATTACGTCTAGATATACGAGACAGGCAAAATATGTTTGAATTATATACCACCACTCGCATTCCCTCTATAACGAAACTTCAAAGGAAACGCATGTACCTCCCAAATGTCCTGAAAAGCGCGCCTTATTCTACTCCACTTACATGTCTCCACGCACTGCTCAACTATTTTAAGCGATAATGCGTCCAATATTGAAAGCATGCCTCGTAAAATTTCTACCCTAGATACGAAAAGAGTGGAGTTATGCAGATGTTTTTCTGTGGTCCAAAGTGCTACATTGTCCTCCGTTTCGTGTACCGTATAACGATCCTGGTAGAAGATACAAGCTTTATCGTGCTCCCGGTTTGGGGTACTTGTATTCCCATTTTACCTAAATAGCATGATACCTAGGGCACTTTTATGTGACTGGTCCACGTTCGGTGTCTTTGCAAAATCGGCTGATATTTTTTTCTGTTTTCTATGGATAAGGAGATTAAATTAAGGTCTTGAATAAAAAGTAAATTAAACTACGCACAGATAGGTTTTGTCATGCAACAAACATTTGGTCAAGCAGAGTGTGCAAAAGTAAGGTTAATCACATTTGGGATATTGACGATTCATTTGCTTGTCAACTGTTGATGTAAGCTGTTCACCACACCAGAACATATAATCCACTCCTTCACTGTCCTTCGCAAAACATCACGAGCAGTTTCCATTTCGGTCGCACGAAGGATGCGCATATTTGTCTTTCTCATACTAGGTGGTGATCAAGGTAATTAATGGAAGCGAAAAGGCGAGTTCCCTAAAGCAGTGCGGAGGAAGAATGCGTGATGACTGGAACAAGAATTTCCGAATTATCACTCTAGCCCATCATCAGAAAGTACCAGGAGAGGCATAAGGAATGTGTTGCTCATTGGACGAAGTCGCCCAGCAGTAACAGGCCTACACTAATTAGCAGCACTCGCCTTCATCTCATGCGACCATATTTTATGCAATGACGGCTTGACCGTCCGTACCTGAGTCGTTAGTCGTCCTGATTTTATCGCTGTCGTTGATTCTTGGTACGAAGATTACTAAGCGATTTGGCTTGCTATCATCTGAGCAGTTGGTCGCCCGCGCTTTGCTGTGTGGCTGGTTATTTCGCTGAGGCAAAATCTCAACACAGAATAGGGAGGCAGAGGGTCATTGCGTCTGCTAATTGAAGGCTGGCAGGAGAACCATGATTCAAGCAACCCGCGGCCCACGTGGTTGTCACTTCTTGCAAGAATTTCGAATCCGTTATAGTCGAAGGTGTGACCGGGTCACTTCGAATGAACCGTTAGCTGGAAGTTAGTGTGATTCCTCCTCACTGCTGCTGCATGTTTGGTCATTCGCTTTTGGGGCGATCTTTCGGCTTTTCCGACGTAGTTGCTTTGTCCGCAACCGCACCAGATTCAGTAAACAACTCCGGATGCTTTGCTTCCATGACAGTTGGTTTTTCGATCTCATGACCCGGCACCTAATGGTTGCCTCCGGCCACTGTGCAACTCCAAGTCAAGTGGTGTGAACAGGCGGCTGACGGTTTCTGAGACGTTCTTCACGTACGGAGCCCTCGCGGAAACTTGGGGTCTATTGGATTTGGTCTCTCATCGTGTTTACGCATGTGCACCGGCTTAGGAAATTGCGCGGGTAACCATTCGTTCTAAGCACACATCGAAGATATTGTACATTAACAGCCTCGGTTCATTGTAATGTGTCTCAACGCTCCAATGCAGCGCATTGCGCAATCTCGTTTGGAGCTGGTCGAGTGATTGCTGTTGAAGCTCAGAGCTTGTGCCCAATTAGTCTTTCTCCTGAACAGTTTACTTCCTAGGCAACCACAACCTTGGCGGCGGACGAGGACTTCAAGGATGGCCAGCTGGTTGTTTACTTCCTCCTCCATCATGAATTGTATGTCCGGTTAGACGGAATTGAGATGTTCCTTGAATGCCATCTTCTAATCTCGTTTGAGGACAACGAAGGTGCAGTCCACATACTAAACTCGAAATTTCGGTCTGTGATGTCGGACGGCCAGTGACTCCAACCGTTGCAGAACCATCTCAGTTATGAGTTTCGAAATGGGCGAGCCGATTGGCCTGCCTTTTACCTGCTCGTCCACTGTTCCATCAAAGGTGAGGCAGGTCTTGTGACTGAACTTCATGAGTTGGAGGATGTGGGCGTGTCCGAGACGATTCTCCGTTTCATCGTTATTGTTCTCCATTAGTACCTCTATGGTTTCGGCTGCCATATCCTGTGGAATAGGAATAAATGGGGAGCGACATCAAATGCTACCATGACGTTGCTTTACAGGAAACTAACTCTTTTAAGTTTCGCCAAGAATTTTGTCGATCAGCTGACTATGGTGTCTGAACCGGTGATAATCAATTAAACACATTGAATCAGTCACTATGCCAATCGGTATTCTGGAGTGTCTATGCGTGATAGGACGGGTCGGAGAGGAGCGCCCTCTTAATACACATTTAAGAGAGCATAGATTTGAGTCAAGACCGTTTCTTGCGTCCTCGTCGTGCGTCGCTCGGCCAGGTATATTGCATTCGAGTACCTCATCGCCAATAACGCCGCTTTGCTTTCACATGTCAGCACTTTATGGGGTCGGTCTCGCAAAAGAATATAGAATTAGTGACCCTCTGACAGGTATTTGACTTAATGAAGGTTGTCTGTCCTGTCCAATACGACAGTGGACCGCTCCTTGTCCGTAGGCAGGATAAAGAAATCATTCTCGACCTTGATTCCCCCTTCTACACCGCGTTCGACCTTGGGAAGCACTTTTTACGACTTATGAGTCATGGGGATTGGCAAAATTTAGTGTCCTGTAGGATTTCTCGTTTCGTCTGTCGCTTCCGTCTGACTAAAGATTGATTACTCTGCTGCAATCATGCTGACAGGTATGACAGCAGCTGTGTTAAATGAGGCTTCATGCCTTAAAATCTATATTTGTTCCTATGTCAGTTCCTTTGACAACAGGTTGCGCACCAGCTCGCCATCTTCGGGTGAAGTTGGACCAGTCAACTTGTGGAACTTGTTCTTCAGTACTGCTTTGCCAATCGTCTTCTATTCGCAGGCTCATTCGGCCACCCTCCGATGACGCAATTTTGTACCGTTCTTGCCCATGAGAATACGAAACGTCAGGCCAATAAGCTTCTTATTCCGGTGGTCCCATTTTATTCTTCTGAACTACTTCCTGGTACTCGCTTTTTGACTTCCATTGGTTGTCGTGTGCATTAGTTCACCAAGTAGTTTCACATTGCTGAGTCTGATGATAATTCCTAAAGTTCCTTATTTTTGCCGAAATATATGACAGTTGACGGAAGCAGACACCAAAAATTACAGAGAATTTCCGCTAACTTGCTGTTTACTTAGTCATATTTTGCCCGAATGAATCAAAATAGGCAGATATCCACCAAAAGCTGTAAACATAGTTTCGCATTCCCGAGTCGTTCGGCGTGCTACTTGCTACCATTTACGAACCGGCATCCTAGACTATTAAGAGCAACTTAAAACATTATCAATGATATGCGTTTGCTCGAAAACACGTAGATTATATAGTATGATCTAAAATTCTGCCTAGTGCAGGGAAAGATCTAATTAATACAGACGATCTTGTAAAAGAATTAGACAATTTTGTTGTCATGATACGTAGCCTAAAGGGAGGAATCTCTAGCAGGCAGCCATCATGACCGGTCTGTTGCCATTGTTCAAGACCTCGCTGCCTCGGGGTCATTCACCCCTTGCAGCGAGCCGTCCCAGGCGAGCTGACCTGAAGCCACTCGACCGACTTCACCTCGGACACAATTGCGTCCACACAGCGTCGCGGCTACCCATGCGCCACTTGAACGCGCCACCCCCTGCGACCACAACCTAAATCCATTGGGACACCACCCCTCGGCAACTGCAACACACACTGACTGGCCACCGCTTGAGCTTGACCCATGAGCCTACCAAATAGGCTGCCACCGCTGTCCCAGTGACTCTCAGATCTGACTGGACGCAATCAACACCGGTCCTGGCTCGCCAGTGACCACTGCTGCCTGAAAGGAAAACTCTGGGTTTTGTATGCATTAAATCCCACATTCTGGTTCCTTCTGTCTTCTCTCTCAAACATAGGATTCGCCCTGATTATTGTAGTGCTCAGAATGCATACACTCACACCGCCTGCCGCAACACATCGTTTGCTGACTATATCTTAACTGTTCGGCAGTCCTCCAAAAACTATTTGTTTCTCGCCTACGTTGTCTACGCGTTTTCAGTGAATATGATTAGTACAGCCAACCCCTATATACGCAAATTTTTCCTGGTATTGTGCCGTTATTTACCACATCGTCGTCCCTCGTCTGTGTCTGTATCCCTTCGAACTTCTCAATGCTTTTGACGTTCAAGCAAGGCGTGATCCATTTGCCCGCTGGCTGTTTTCTTAACGACTAGTCTCTAAATTCTAAGCTTCCTTTCATCTAGTACTCAATCAGCCCTGTTATTAAGCCTAAGAGTGTTTTGTTGCTAAGCCGCATATTCCCCAGCAGGTAAACTGTGTTTATTTTTGGAAGTGCGCAATTTAAACGCGACCTTCGTTGAGGAATCGCCTCTAAGTCAGCTTTCCGTTTGATGGATAATTTTATGCTTTCACAATTCGCAAAACGGTTAGAATCTGGAATCCCGACATCATTTCTTCGGGCTGAAAGGGGAAAACCAGCTCCTCTTTATTTATGGGACTTCATAGTGGTTTTTAAAACAAGAATTAGGTGATTACGGTTTCTGTAAGGCTTTATAACTACGGATCATTTTCAGCCTCGGTAAGTAGGAAAAAAGGAAGCTGTTCGATTGCTGGAAACACTTCTCCATTCCTGTGAGCTTTCGAACTCGTAAAGAAGTTCCTCGCCAGAGGTAGCAGCAACAACAGAACAAGCAGCACTTATAGGGGGTATGAGTCAATCAAACATCAATGACGCAAGTCTGAAAGTGATCACGCAGGGCTCTGTATTCCGGCGCCAGGTCGATTGACTGCATTCTTATCTGGGGTGCTGGCGTAGTCTATTGTCTTTGTAGTTTCTAAGTTAATTTTAGAGCCCGCTCAAATTTCAGCACCTCACGAGTCTGTTCGCATGTTGCCAAAATACCTATCTTACTTTTGCAGAAGAAACGTATGAGCAGATCCAGAGAACTCCAATGGGTTCCCCAGTCCCCGGTTTAGTGGCAGAGCTGGTACCACAAGAGCTGGAAAAGATTGCCATTACCCAGCAGGATCTGATCCTTTGCGCCGTTACGTGGACGACACGTTTGTCATCGCCATGAAGAACATAGCACAGAATTACCATAAACTGCTCAACTCAATCCTCCAGTTGGGTAAAGTCCTAACGGCGAAACAAAAATAACGGTCTACAGGAAGTCGACGAAAGCCACGCAACTTCTCAACTGTGACAAAAACCAACCCGTGGCTCGCAAGCGAAATTGTGGAAGAACGCTCTTTAAACAAATTCGGGTCCATTGCGACAAACTGGATGTGAAAGCGTGCGAAGCCTAATAACTCAGCGACCACTTTACGCGGAACGGCTATCCGAAGGCGTTTATAAGCCGATGCCCGTGTTCGAGCCCGGAGGGTTCATCTGGAAACACTGCCCACGTCAAGGACGTTTCTGGGGCAACTGAACACATTTCTGCTGGACTAGGTGTCGGAATTGCACACCATTGCTACCATGCGCAGCAGGGTCATGAAAGAAAAGGACTAAGTAAATCCCAGTGAGCAGTCGGGTGTAGTGTATCGCATAAGGGCTAATCTCCTGAGGTGGATACAAGGTTTCTTGATCGGTCGCTCTCAAATCGTCCACGTCGGTGACAGGCAGTCGGAGGAGGTAGCGGTTGAAAGCGGTGTTCCACAAGGCTCCGTTATTGGCTCTACCCTATTCATTATATACATCAAGGACTGCGTCAGTGGACTGAATTGTGATGGCGCCATGTTCACTGATGATGTTAAACTGTGGAACGTCATCCGAACTGAATTTGACGAAGAGCGCTTGCAGGCAGACCTGACCCGACACGAGAAATGGTCACAGGACTGACTTTTGCCGTTTAATGTGACTAAGTGCAATGTTTTGCGAGTCGGCAGGACCCGATCTCTAAGCCGGAGGGTTTACTACCTAAATGGCGTACCACTGCAGGGGGTAGATGCCCAGAAAGACTTGGGTGTGTGGTTAACGGCTTCTCTGAAACCGTCGCTCCACTGCTCCAAGGTAGCCAAGTCTGCGATGTAAGTCCTTTACCTTGTCAAGAGAGCTTTCTCTACCTTCGATGAGGACTGCTTCGTTAAAGTCTTTCGGACTTTCGTACGGCCACAGCTAGAGTTCGCTATCCAGGCGTGGAAACCCTGGACCTCTAAAGATCTCAGCATCCTCGAGAAAGTTCAAAGGCGGGCAACCAAACTCGTAAGTGGACAGGGTTCACTACCCTATGAAACACGATTGTCCAATCTCGGCCTTTTTCCTCTGACTTACAGACAGCTAAGAGGCGACCTTATACAAACATTTTGTATACTTCGCGACCACAACTGCTGTATCGTACCTGCTGATTCCTTTGAGTTAGCAACCACAACTAACCTCCGAGGGCATCCATTGGAGCTACGTGTGACTGCCTGGACATGCGAAAGTTCTTCTTTTGAAACAGAGTGGTCGAGGCCTGGAATGCTCTGCCCACAGATGTCGTCATGTCCACTTCCGTCGAGGCCTTTAAGCGCAACTTGGACCAGATTGCCACCAATCGTCACAATGCCACCTGATAGATTGTCTAGCATTTCGTTCGAACAGTTTATTAATGTTGTTATATTACTTCCTATATTTCAGTAACGTTTTTTAATATTGTCTCATGCCTGTCGAATGTGCGTTGGCATCTAATTCGTCTCCTTCAGAAACTAAGATAACACCAACTATCCATAGACAGACTACTGTACAGCAAACTTAGTAACGATAATGTTTTGAACTCTTGGAACAATTCGTTTATCTGTCTGGCTTCTAAAACTTTGCCAATATGAAGAAACTCTGTAGCTGTTTGATGTTTCCATTTTCAAATTTTCCATACAGTTCGCTTCCTTGTAACAAATAGGGAGTTCAAAGGTTCAACACCTATATTTCCCTCAAATAAACTGGACTGAACTGAACTGATACCACACCTAAACTGTCCTTGTACTTTCATTGGTCAGACTGAATGCATTCTCGGTCCCCGTACATACAAACATTAACTGGCTGTGCGGCGGGGTGGCGGGTTATCACAGGCGGCTACCCACACCTACGCAACGGGTCACGAGTCTAACATCGCAGCCACAAAAATAATCGCCTACGTCAGAAGCAAAATAAGCCACGAATTGATTGAAGCCTGAACACGAGATGAGAATACGCTCAATCAGTCTGGCGCTGGAATACAGAGTCCTGCGCGATCACCTCCAGACTTGCGTCATTGATGTTTTATTGACTCATACCCCATATAAGTGCTGCTCGTTCTGTTGTTGAAGCTATCTCTTGCGAGTCCGAAAGCGCACACAAACAGCTTCCTTCTTACCTATCTAAACGTTCTACTGTTTTATTGTCAGTAGCTTATCCGTTTTACATAAAATCGCAATAATGGGGAACTTAATCCTGGGCACGCAAGGGCGTCGGAGGCATTGTTAGATATGAAATGGTAGTCATCCGCGCTAGCTGTGGGTATGTTTAAGTCGTTGGTCTGGTCTAACCTAGCTGACCTGTGCATATGATAGGTATTTATCTAGCAAGTGCGAATTTACAAAGCCTTGAGTAAGAGTCCAGAAGGACTCTCACTCAAGGCTTCCCAAATACCGTCAGAGGATTGACCAAAAGAAGGAAAGGTTCTGCGAGTTCATGGGCGAGAACGGCACAAAAATGCTTCAACAGAGGGTGGCTGAAAGAATCCGCGAACAGATAACGACACGCAAAGCAGCACTAGAAAACAAATTCCGCAAGCTCTCCAATCCAGCGTCATCCAAGAACGACAAACTGGTGCACAACCTGTCGTCAAAGGAGCTGACGGAGGAACAAATGCAGGTGTTAAGGCATGTGGTCTCATTTAACACAGACGATGCCACACCTGTCAGTATGATTGCAGCAGTGGAGGAAACCCTCAGCCAGACGGAAGCTAAGTCCATTCACGCAGTCATTGACATGGACTTAAAACAGTAGTGGCCGAGAACGGAAGCCTGAGGTACCCGACGCACAACTTGCACTGGCATTGGTTTTGCACTGCCACTGAACACAGAACACGATCAGTCCATCAAAAAATCCCCTATCCAATTTAGTAGGCTTGCCCTTATCCCAGATTCTCGGACCTTGTAGAGTAACGGCAGTGTGGATCATAATCAAAGGCCTTCCTGAAGTCGATGCAAACGTTATGGAATCTTGCGTCTTAAGCTAGCGAGCGGGGTCACTGCTGCATTGAATGCAGTATATTGGTTGGACAGGTATGGTTTCGTCGAAAGCCACTTTAGACACTGTCGAGCAAATCTTTTTCTTCGACGAACTTCACAGTAGTTTTTTTGACTACTTCTTCCATAACTGTGCAACAAATGCATACTAGGGTCACCGGCCGACAGTTGTTGGCACTTGTTCAGGTCTCACCCTTGTTAACTGGGTGTCTATTCGTCACATTCCAGTCAGGGAGAAGAGTTCCTCGATCAAAGGACGGCTGGAAAATTTACGAAAGCTGTCTGGACAGTCGACAAGCAAGCTGCCTCAGGACTTTTGTCGGTTTTAAGTTCGGATACAGAGACTTACATTCCTCAGGAGTAAGATGTTCCTTCCTCACATATTTGGTGAGATCGGTGCTTTCCACCACTGTGTCGTTTTTTCCCGTAAGAAAATCCGTTTTATCTGTGAAAGAATATGCGAAAAATGACCTAAATGTTCTGCCTTAACGTCATTTTGAGTGATGTTCTCATTTTCTCCTTCCAACATTGCGGCCATCTCTTATTTCTTTAATCTGCTGTTGATATAGCTGAAAAATACTTTTGGCTTAACCACGGTCCGTTTTATAATTCGCGTCTCGTACTCCCTCCGCGATCTACGGACGTTTGACTTTGTCTCGTTCCACTTTCGGTAAAACTTTTCGCAGTGCGAGCGTTTTTTCTTTTCATACACCTCAGAAGTTTGTTTTTTTCTGTTCACCTCCTTTGTATCTTGCTCTAAACAGACTGGATGATTCCCTTTTTGGACCTGTTTGATCGGACAGTTATGATGCATAGCGTTGTTCATAACGCCCCTGACAATATTCCACTCTACATTCGGATGTCCTGATCTCCTGCTGAGATCTACAAGCACGGTGGTTCCCGCTTCATGGATCACCTGACGGCACTCTTCCAGAAGAGGTGGAGTTAAAGAGAAGTCCCGCAGGGTGTCAAGGACGCCACAATCGTGCATCTTTATAAACGGAAAGGAAACTGCCAGCTTTGCGGCAACCATCTTGCGGAACATTGTCGGGAAGATCCTCGCTCGCATTCTCCTCAACCGCCTGAATCACCATAGGAAACAAGGTCTCCCGCCGGAAGGCCAGTGCGGCGTCCGCCGTCATCGCAGAACCACGGACATGATCTTCATCGACACTAACTGCAGGAGAAGTGTCAGGAGATGCGGACCCACCTCCACTCTATCTTCATGGATCTGGCGAAAGCCCCCGACACAGTGACCCGCGAAGGACTGTGGAAAATCATGCTGAAATTCGGCTGTCCCGAACGATTCACAAAGATGGTGCGTCAGTTCCATGTTGGCATGATGGCGCGAATAACAGACAATGGGCTGTATCAGAGGCATTCGCAGTGACCAACGGAGTGAAGCAGGACTGCGTCTCCGTGCCTACACACTTCAGTCTCATGTTCTTTGCCGTACTAATGGGCGCCTACCGTGACGAACGGCCCGGGATCCGCGTCGCCTACAAGGCTGACGGTCAACTCCTCAACCACCGGCGGACGCACTTCCAATCGCATGTATCCACAACCTCTTTCCATGAGCTTCTCTTCGCCAACGACTGCGCACTCAACAACACCTCCAAAGGGGACATGCAAAGGAGCATGGATCTCTTCGCCGCCGCCCGCGAAAACTCCGGTTCAATCATCGACACGGAGAAGACAGTGGTTATGCATCAGTGGCCACCCGACGCTGTCTCCATCGCTGCTCAAGCCAACATGATCGGCGCCCGACTGCAAGCCCTGGACGACTTCGCCTACCTGGACAGAACCCTCTTTCGCAACACCAAAATCGACGGCGAAGTGGCTCGTCTGATTTCCAAAGCCAGCCAGGCCTTCAGCCGTCTGCGAAACACGGTTTTGAATCGACACAGTCACCATATCAGCACCAAACTGGAGATGTACAGAGCTGTCATTCTGTCGACGCTGCTGTATGAAGCTGGAACCTGGACGGTCTACAAGAAGCAGGCATGCAGACTAAACAACTTCCACGTCAGCTCTTTCCAAGGGATATTGAAGCTGAGGTGGCAGGACCAGATCCCGGACACGGACGTCCTGGATCGCATGGGAATCCTCACCATATATATCATGCCGAGACAACTGCAACTGCGCTGGAGCGGCCATTTGGTGCGCATGGACGACGAACGGTCACCTAAACGACTCTTCTATGGAGAAGTCGCCGCGAGTTTCCGCCGACAAGGAGGTCAAGTCCGGCACTACTAGGATACCCCACAGACTACCTGAGGTGCCGTAAAAATCGACCCAGCCAACTGGGACGACCTCGCCGGTAGCCGATTGACCTGGCGGAGAGCAGTAAAAACCGGCGCGGCAATCTACGAAGCCAACTGCATCACCGCCGCGAAAGCCAAACGTGAAGCTCGGAAATCTCATCTGTCCCCCAACCTGCCAACGATGTCAGCGGATGTTCCGTACACCAGTCGCTCTCATTGGGCATCTTTGTACCAGCCACAGCACCCGGACGACACCACCCGATGTCCCCCCGTCCATCTCTGCCTCGTGTCGCACGCCGACAGTCGATACTAACCACACCCCTGAACCCCCGCTGCCATCCTCCTCCGTCGCCTCAGCATCCGCTACAACGACTCCTGCACCCACCGTTACTGCACTCAATCTTACCACACCGACAAACATCAACCTCATCATCGCCACCACAAGCGATGTAGACTCGGTCCATACATGTCCTCATTACGACCACACCTTCACCTCGCACGTCGGCCTGGTCGATCACTTACGAATCCATCTCACGGAGACTGGCGAGCCAGTGTCTAGAGAACCGACACACGCCAGGCGCATCCGCCTCAGCTGCCCTCACTGAATCCGCACATTCACTCACCGCATGAGTCTATCAAGCTACACACGCATTCGCGAAAACCTGCGGTAGACAACCGCCGGCTACACCAAATCATTACATCTTCCCCTACCTACATCACACAGCATCGCCCATTACAAGTATTCAACTACCGCCTCCCACATAAGTGGAAAGTGTGAGTCTCGGATCCTTCTCAATGCGTCTCCTTCGCTGCATAGGTGATTCGAGTCTGAGACTATCACGGTGCGTCAAGCGCCGTGGCTTGCATGGCTGCTAACCGACGCCCCAACTCAGTCCACGCAATCTGCCCAGTTGTGCGTTTGTGCATGTGTGGAGGGGCGGCATGGTGGGTCGAGAAACAGGCTGAAGCGACTCCCTCTTAACGTGAACTACAGCACTCTCACGCATGTGAGACGTATACCGCCCAACCCCCGTTGTATGAAATCCTGGTACTTGTGTTTGGGGGGACAGGTCGTGCATGTGGCGCGTGCAGACAAGGTCCTTGGATATGTCAACCACTACGCCCATTCCTGCATTTGCCAACTAACCAGCTCGGACAGCGTCTGGGGCGTGGGGAATGGAGAGTGGCGTCGACGACTTAGCGCATCTTCCTCACTATAGACAATCTGACGCGCTCGAAGCTATCAGGGCGCGCTAAATGCCGTGGCTTGGATGGTTGCCAAATGACGGGATAACTTGGATCTTGCAGTCGGCCCAGTGTTGTGTGTTTGTGTGGGGCGGCCGACTGGTGGTCCGGGTGTCAGGCTGCAATGACTCCTTCTTAGTGCGGCCTTTATGGCACTTCCACTCCATGTGATCCGAGCCGGCTGTGACGGCGTGCCGTTCCGCTCGGCAGGTGAGAAATTCCGCTGAAAAATTGCTGGGTGGACGTTTCGGACTGCTGGTTTCTTATTTAGCAGTTAGAACGGTCTGGGCTGGCTCAACACATGGCTTATAAGAAGAAGATGCAATCGCTGGGACAACTACTTTATGAGCCTGACGTTTCAGATTCTCACACGAACGTGCCATTAGGGACAGCCACAGATAATAGTAGAGGCACAAGCAGTGTAGTATATGCAGGGCGTATTTGCCATGCAACCACACGCGTAATATAATTAGCAGTTTTCGTGGTCATGCTTGAGGTGATTTGATGGGGTTGCGGACAAAGCAAATACGTCGAAGTAACTGATGGATAGCACGAAATACGAACGGTCCAACATGCAGCATCAGTGAGGAAGAATGACGTTAGAACTCAGGTCGTGACTCATTCAACGGAGCCAGCCAAACCTTCAGGAGCGATAAGGACGAAATTCTCGCAAGAGGCGATAACCGCATAAGCTGTGGGCTGCCGTCCGCAGTCCATGAACAGAAGCAATGGCCTCCCGATTCGGTATTCTCTGATGAGATTACCCGAGCGGAGGAAGCAGGCACGCGGGGATGGCACGGACGACCAACGGACCCACTGACAGCAAGCCAAAATACCGAGTGATGATCGCACCAACATCCAACATGGATGATGGAACGGTAGCAGGACGCAATCGCTGACACGGCTACTTATTCGCGCTGACCGGAGTTTGGATGTCGGACGTGTGTTGGCTCTTAGCGGAGGAAGGCCTTTCCCGTCCCTGGTACACGGTTCTGCCATGTCCCGTGGACGTCATAGTCCACCTACCTCTGTTCAGTGGTCGTTCCCACCACCTAACCTGTGCGGACCGATTCACCCGATGGCTGGAAGCTATTTTTTGCCTGATACCGAGGCTACAACGGTGGTCAGAGCTTTCCTCGGTTGTTGATCTGCCATTTCTGGTGTTCCCACCGTGCCAAATTTGAATCTCACCTGTTCCAGTCTCTTCTTTTAAGGCTGTACCCGATCGAGGATCTTACCAACCTCCTGTACCCTCTCCAAAATTTACGCGAAAATTCCCCGTTCTGCCCAGGTCATCGGCCGCCGATTCTTTCTCAAGAAGGACTTGGTGATATGCTCTCACGTCCATCCCCGATGCAGTCGAGTCCGTCGGCCATTGGAACCACCCTACGACGGCCCCTCCCAGGTTGTCTCTCGAGGGACGGAGACGTTCCGCATCCAACGCGGAACTCGCGAGGAGGTCGAGAGCATGGACCGCTCCAGAGTTGCTGACTCAGGCACTTCGCGGGGCGAGTCCTGTGGTCCCTTATCTCTTGATTCTCCACTACGCCTACCCATCGTCCCTCCATTTCGTCTACTTCCTCTTCCGCTATGTCCGCTGCCTCCGCCTCCCAATCAAGCTCCAGCGCTCCAGCCGCGGCACACTCACTCTTCCTCTGTGTATATCACCCACAGTGGATGTCGTGTTCACTTTCCTGACCGTTTGCTTACTCATGTCAACTTCGGAGTCGCTCCCTGTCAATTCGCTGGTGGGACCACGCGGGACTTAGCCCCAGTGTCGCGAGAGCCCGAAGCCAATCAAGACTGCTCCTTCGCCAATTGACTGCGGGCCGTCACAGGCCAGGCAGAGCAAAGGGGCACACGCGCGCTGGGGACTAAGAGCCCTAACGGCGCAGACTCGTGACTCATGCGCAGATCACCACACTGCGCTCACTCAGTGGAGCAAACAGTGCATGTCGTCGTCCGCGACAGTCGAGATGTTGACAGAGATCCGAGGCTCGCGCAACTTCCTTTAGTTAGATTAATTCGCTCATTCGACAATTATACGAACATGGAACCTGATGACGGTTAGCCCCGAACAGAAAGTCGAGAAAGCGGCACGATCCTGCAACAATACTATCCGAAAAACAAGATCATGTACCCTTGTCGTCACAAACGGAGCTGCCCTCGAGACTGGGGTGGCGAGCGCCAGATGCTTCCTAGCATGTAGATGTTTTGCTTCAACAAATTCTGATAAATAACTGAAGTTGATCATCGTGTTTTCTTTTTTTAATAAAAAATTCGCATACAAAAGTTCCCGAATTGGGGACCAGTAGATAGGACGCTATACAAATCAGGAGATTGGAGGGGGAAAAACAGGCGGGTCCGCGAAGGCGCCGTACAGAAGGAAGTCAGGGTGGCATTCGAAGACCGCCATCCAGACGAATCACCTCTCCGTTCAACATGGGGTTTCTTAGCAAACAGATGACCAAGTGTGCAAATTCTTCAGGTTTGCCGGGGCGCTTGGGAAAGAGAGTCTGGCGAACAAGGTGGTTCGCAACGTTTCGTGGAAGGGAAGTCAGCATCGGGGTGTCGAAGACGCCTGGGTGAGTGCAAACAATCGTGTATGGACAGGTGGTAGTGACAGTTTGCGCAAAAGGTGAAAGATGGAGAAGGGAAAGCATCTGTACAAAAGAGCAAGGAACCGTGCGGAAAAGATGTTTGGAAGCCCAAACTACAGATGGACTAGACGTCCGCCTCCGTCGAGCCGCAGGGAGACGCCATTAAGCATTTTGTTCTGTAGGCAAGACTCGACGGCCAGAGCAAATTCCTCAGGACGACCTAGGCGTCCGATCACCAATTGAATGTCGGAAACGTAGGCTACGATATCCTCTTTCACCTGACGTTCGCCAAACAGCAAACGGCTTTCGAATAGGCCTAAAGACAGCAATGATGGGGAAAAGCGCGTTTCAGGGTACGGCTGTGTAGTAAGACTTAGGATAATCAATTAACGATGGGGAATGGCGGAAACGCGTGAAATTAAAAGACGAAGACCGTATGTTATTGGGTGCTTCGTCTTTACCGAGTGTGAACACTCCCTCACTGTCCACAAACTACATATCAGTTCGACTGTCGTTACCGATAAGGTCCACCAAGTGCCTCACAGCAGGGGCATGAGTAGGTTTAAAACGATAGTAGGCTTTCGCCGCGCCTACCACACTCTTTCCTCCCTCACCCATCAAAAACCGGTGCCGAGGGAGATCCAAGAAAACCGCAGGCGGGGCCAGACGCAGTGCTCACAAGGGAAAACAGCTCATCTGCGCGTGCCACATGCACATACATGGATAGCATACGATTAACCAGGTTTTCGAGCAAACAAGAAATAAGCGGCTCGGATGCCAACTGTGCAGGAATGCCCTAGAGGCCACATTAAGAAGTAGCCGTTGAAGCCTGGCTCTATATACTGAGAGGAACGAGTTATCCCCGCCAGTTGGCAGCCTTCCAAGCCACGGCTCTTAGCACACGATGATAGCTTAAACGAACACCAAATTGTTTTAAGCGATGAATATGCGCTAAGAGTCGACCCCACTCCCCTTCCCTCTTCCAGGCACTAGTCCACTGCCCGAGCCGGACAATCAACTGATTCGGGCAGTGCAAGCAGCGGCTGACAGCCCAGCTGAGTGATTCACACACGACTTGACCCCCACACAACATCAGGTTTTTACACAAAAGCGGTGGGCGGCCCGGACCACATGTCACTGGAGTGACAATAAGGAGCCATCGCAGTCTGACTATCAGTCCTGAGATGACCGAGTTGTCCCGTCAGTTTTGGCGTACCGTGAGTCAAAATGCGCGTCAGACTGTTTGTAGTGAGGAATATGCGCTGGGTGCCGCAGGGACGGAGTACCCGGGGTCGACCTCACTTTCTCCTGTCCCATGCGTCAGTCCACGGTCCGAATCAGCCAGCCATCGGGGTTTGGGCGCAAGTGGCTGGCACGGCGTGGGCCAAACTACCACCAAACCCCGCATGTTTGGCATTGGTTATGGGTGTGCAGTCTAACAAAAGCGTGCCGTACCCTGATTTGGCCCCCATGTCGGTCGAGTGCCACTCCCGCATGATCCTTTATAGAGGGCATTAATCCTCCCAAAAAACACAAGCACAACTGGGTGGCTGGTCTTAAAGCGGATTTCAACGACGGCCAGCCAACAAAAAGTGGTCCCAACATCCGTCCGGTCAGTCCTCCTAGACAGCTGTGTCTGTTGGCTTGTTTGCACTCACTGTGAAAACATCTAGTCGGACAAAGACGAAGGATACTACTTGCAAACGTTCTTCGTCACTCGCGTGAATGAAACTGTTTACGCCGAATTCGTCAGTAGGTGTATCTTCGACCGACGACCATAGTCGGTTGGAAGCCTGGTTATTCACATGTACCCCCCTACCTGTCGCATCAGATGGATGGGTTTTACGCCTGAACGGTATATGAACGACCAACTGATGGCATGGTGTAATAATAGAAATAAACCTTCAGATCATCGCCGGCTCCACAGTCTGCAGTCTGTCATTCAGCTAAACTTCGACAGTAATTCTGTTGTGATTTGACAGCAATGGAAGATAATCGCTCGAAACAACCTAAAGTTGACTAAATTACTTGCAATGAATGTCGTCATAAGCACGCGTATGTAGTCGCTCGGTCTGTTTGCGAAGTTTCCGGAATAAATCTCGCATGTGTTGGGGAAATTAAGCATCGGAAGACAGCTGTTTCTAAAAAAGAGGCCGTTTTGGATCAGATTTCAAACAGGACTCGGTATGATACATCTGTCTGCGGGCTTTTGGTTGTAAATTATAGGTGGTGTGCAGTATGAATGATGAAAATGCGCGCTCGCCAAAGCCGAGACCATTTATGTCAGATGTCTACTCGTCATCTTGCTGTCGAATGACGTCTTTTTCGAAATTGTGGGGGTGGACACAAGTGAATCAAAGGTCGGCCATGAGTAACAACGAAAAACTGCTAGTGTGGACTTCTGTGAAAGACAATTAACGAAAAATAGTACCTGGAGCAATAGTGACCACGCGAATTCCGTGTCTGGAAAGGTCGCGTGCAATTGGAAGGGTCATCCCCACAATGGCCCCCTTGCTGGCCGCGTAGGCCGCTTGACCCACCTGACCATCAAAGGCAGCAACACTTGCGGTGTTTATAATCACGCCACGTTGACCATCCTCGTCTGGTTCATTCTCCGTCATATGCAAGGCAGCAAGACGGATTGTGTTGAAGGTGCCAAAGGTATTAACCTACCAAGGAATAGCGTTAACCCATCGGTAAACATTGTTGACTTAGAGTCGGAAGGGGAAAACCGAAAACGAAGGACTTTAGTCATGCATTCAAAAATGCAAATTGGTGTTCAGGGGGGAGATAATATTTAGTAAGGCTGCCGGGAGGATCATAATTAAGCTACCAGTTTTATCGATTCAAGTTCTTGGCGGCAGCCCAGTCCAAAAGGATCGGTCCGAAGTAACGGCAAAATTAAAATGGCAAATTTCTGATCCGACACAAAGGATTTTGCTTTGGTTCTGAGACTGCGTAATTTGGAACGTCAAAAGACGTTATAATGCAAGTGACCTAACGATGAACGATTGTTCCAATAATGTTGTGGGCGTTTTCTTAGCACGCGACATTTCGTCGGGTTCTAAGTCTATGGATTCCCGACAGGACGCGTAGTACGCTTATGAAGCCAAACTAGAACATCCTAGGTGAGTTAAAAAGCATGCAGTGCACCAAACAACTTAGCAATTCACGACAGGCAGTCCGACATCTACGAAGCTGTTTAACTTTCGGCTTTAAGGTCTATAGGTCCTTTGACAGTTATAAACGAAGATTGTGCACTTTTATTTGAGCGTTTCCATAATTTAATGGTGTAACTGATCAGTCGGTCCATTATCTCGAACTTCATTTGGAATTGCGCTATTATCATGGAATCCCGGTTTATATGAGAGCTTACAGATGTACGTTTTCAAGCCCAGTGATAGATAATTTAAAAAGGAACTTTAGTTTGCTCTACTAACTTCAAAACAGGGTATTCGTAAAGCTCCTTGCGCACAAATGTGTGCAAATTAACTAACTAATCGAAAGCCTGAAGCTAGGCAGTACTTAAAACAGACAACCTATAAGAGAGTAGCACAGAGCAAGGTATGGAGAACTACAAAGTAAAAGAGCAGAGGTCGTCGCCGGCAGCAGAAAACAGTGGTAAGGTAAGACAGCAAACACCGGTCCGGGTAGAAGAGACCATTATTTGATAAACAAAGACTCACTCTGAAAACTCTTTCGAATTCTTTTGGGTCATGAGCAGTTTTTGAAACTATGTTGATAGTTTTCCGGGTAATTCCTATTCCAGCACAGTTAACAAGGGCATTGATGGACGAAAATTGCTTCTTTGTCAATTCTAGGGCAGAAGTGACATCTTCTTCCGATGTGACCTTGATAAATAAACTATAACGAGGGACAAACATCGCATTTGGAGAACAGGAAGTTTTCCCCCAGATCCTTTAGCCCGTCCGAGTTTGCTATATCTAGGGCGACAACTCTGTAGCCGATGGCCAGTAATTTTTTGCAAGCTGCCAGACCCAGTCCAGATGCGCCTCCAGTGACCAGTGCAGTAAGTGGCTACAAAGTAGTATCCAAACAATGTACGCTTACTTTTAATGGGGAAAACAAACGCGGTGTTAACCTCATCACTCAGATCACGCCGGGCGTTAAAATGACTACTAAGTGGAATAAAGCGCGTTAACTATCTTTGATCTCTAGGTTAAAAAAAGTCTATTAAAATGGAAATGCAAAATTTAGAGGACAGTTGTTGAGATTCATGGCCACGGAATGGGGCTCATGTATCTAACCCAAACGCCGCCTGGGTTTTCTTTAAGATCTGGTACCTGGTGGAAAACTGTTGCCCGCTCAAAACGAGATCGTGCGTCTCCCGACCAGAGCCGGTGACATCAAAAATAAAATGAAATCTCAAAAATTAAAGGAGGCTGGGGAAGAGGTGCGCCACATGTCAACAGCCTGAACATCTCTTAAAATTTGAGAAACAGCGAAATAGGTGTCGGGGTGTCCTGAGGAGAGAAAGAGAAGCATTTGAGTCAAAAACAGTCAAAGAAATACTGGAAACTCCAAAGAGGTTCTTCGCATACGTGAATAGGGCAAAAGGTAATCGGGACTCCTTTTCTGGTCCCAAGAGTTATCGGGGAAATAAGTTAGCCGACAGCTCAGGTTAGACGAAGGTCTAATCCGATTTGTTCTTGCCCGTGCATACCGAGTGTTATGTATGCAAAGCAGGAGGCTAGTTGGGAATAGGACGTGTACTGGGTAGGAGAGACAGTCCAAGTGAGGAGGCTCGTGGAAACGACTGGATATATGGCAGAGGGAAAAGTTATAGACTGATGGGTGGCAAAGTAGCACAAAGAAGGTATGAGCAGGGGTACATGAGCTTGATCGTTCGCTTGTCACGCGTATGTGTCATGATGTCCTGAAAACTCGGGCAGCATGTGCTGAATTCCTCTATCCTAAAGTGGAAAGCATTGGGCGGAGCGAGAAAAAAACAAAGATAAATGTGGATAGTTACACGGCTAATAAGCCAGAAATGGCCATTCCAGTCTCCCCTGTCTTTGTCGGTAATGACATTATGCCTATACCATGCGAAGCAGTGCGGCTGCTAGTTGGGCTCGAGATACAGCCCTTAAGGAAAAACGGAACGAGTGATTTCCGCAATAACGGTCGATGAGTACCCCTCTACCAAACAACGTTCTAATGGGATTCGTTCTGAAAGCGTTGGACAGGATTGTGGATTCAGGTCGATCTTCGCAGTGCGGCATTTTCGACCTCTCTGCCGCCTTTGAAGACAGTAGCTGTTCAGTTCTCGGGATGTCAGGATCCTTATCAAGATTTGCTGGCAGTTCGAGCATTCCAAATTCTCCACGTACTGTGTCCGTTCGGCTGTAAACTTGGTCCAGATGTCGACGCACTATTCTCCCATTTTCTAATTCTAATTCTACTATTTGCCCTCACTTGTTCGAACTACTGCTGGACACCTGTTCGTTTTGTGTTCTAGTCGCGTATAGACACTTTCGTTAGGCGCGACGACTCGTGGCCGGATGTTCACACCATATCGCGCTTTCATCTTCGTCTGTTCTTCAATAACTGTATCATGCGTTGGTGGATTAAGCAGGTCGAGCCGTGTGCGCAACTGCCGCTTGATTATGAATTCTGCAGGCGAAGCACCGGTTGAGACGTTTGGTATTATGCGGTAGCTGAACGAAAATCGTGACAGCTTGGTGGCCAAGTACACTTCCGTCTGCTTGGCTAGTCCGTGCTTTATTGTCTGGACTGCAGGCTCCTCGAGGCCATTAGAAGCAGCGTGGTACGGGGCAGTAGTTAAATGCTTAATTCCATTTTTCTGCATGAATTCTTTAAATTCCGCACTATATAAGGCCGGGCCTTTGTCACAAATGACCTTCTCAGGTACCTCAAAAGTAGGAAAATGGCCCGCGACTTGTTGATTGCAGTCAGTGAAGAACAAAAATTTCCAGTCGGAATCGCATCAATCCATTTATTGTGGGCGTCAACGACCACCAAGACCATATGGCCTTGGAATGGCCCAAAATAATCGACGTGTACCCTCTTCCACGTCGAGTGGGGCCAGGCCCAAGGCTACAGAGGCGCCTTCCGTAAGGTCTTCTGTGTTGTTTGGCATACGTGACATGCTTTCACCAAATTTTCGACATCCGCGTCAATTTTGGACCAACAAACATAGCTGTGGGCGAGAGCCTTCATTCTAACAGTACCATTTTGAGCATTATGCAGCTCTCTGAGAATGGCCCGTCGGCCTTGTGGTGGCACAACTACACGATTACCCCACAGTATGCATCCGTTTTGTAGACTCAACTCGTTCCGGCGACTCAAGAATGGTTGAAAGTCAGAGGAGGTAGAGGACGGCCAGCCAGATTGCAAGGATCTTTTTACCTGACTTAAAAGAGGGTCTCTCGATGTCCACTGTCGAATTTATTGACAGGTTACAGGTGCGTTAACTAGGTTCTGCAAAATTTCCACAGTCTCAAAAACAAGTGCCTCATCAACGCCATCGTCTACAATGGGGAGCCTACTTAAGTAGTCAGTCAATACGTTTGCACTACCCGAAACGTATTTCATTGCATATGTGCAAGCAGACAGAGTGAGTGCCCATCGTTACATTCTCGGCAAGGACATCTGTTGTATCCCTCGTTTTTCTCTCAGCAGACCTAAGATGTGTTTGTGATGAGTTTGAATCTGGAAGGGTCGACCAAAATGATACAGGTGGAAGCGACTTAGGCCGAACATTTTTGCTGAGGCCTCCTTATCTGGTTGCGAATAGTTGGTTTCCGCCTAGGACAGGGTTCGTGATACAAAGGCAATCGGCATCTACGCATCAGAATGCATTTGGTGCGTGAAAATCGCACCTACGCAGTACGGAGACGCATGACGTTTCAGTATGATAGACATCTTGCCGTTATAATGAGCCGGAACAGATGAGGACGTAAGAGCCGCCTTTGCCTGCTCGACATTTGAGCAGTTCCAGCATCGATTCATTTCGAGTAGTTGATAAATAGGCTTTAGAATTGTAGCCGATTGATTTACAAAGCGATTAAAATGGATGGCCAACCCCAGGAATGAACGCAATTGGCTAGTATTGTTGGCGCGCGGTGTCGTCTTCTAGGCTTTAGGATTATGTTCGAGTGAATGGATGCCAGTTTTCTCCGCCCTGAAGCCTAGGCATTCCACCGAGTCGGCAAGGAAAGGACACTTATCTTTATCGAGTTTAATCTTGCGTCTTTTAATCGTCCTAACACGATGTTTAGAGTCTCTAGATGACGGACCGTTGACTATTATATTGTCAAGATATGACCACACGCGAGGATTGTCCTTCGCGGGGTCATCAATCTAGCATAGAAATAATCCGGGAGCAGAATTTACTCCAAATATTAGTCTTTTATATCGGAACAAACCCCGATGCGTATTGATGGTGGTGGCGTCTCGGAATTCGGTGTCTAGGACGACTTGGTTGTAAGCATGCTTCAGGTCTAAAGCTGTCAATCGATGACGACGTGAGAGGGATGCGTACATATCCCCGACGTACGGTGGAGGATAAGGGTTCTGTTTAGTTGTTGAGTTGATCTTCAGTTTGTAGTCGCCACAGATACGCACAGAACCAGCGGATTTACGAACAGGAACTACTGGGCTGCCCATTCCGATTACCGCACGGGATCGATAATGTCCGATTTCTGTAGGCAATCCATCACTTCTTCGACCTTCGGTGCGACTGCATAGAGAACTGAACGAGCTTTAAATAACTGGGCCGAAAATCTGATTGAGATTGGAACTTAACAGGGGGGGGAGGGGTGGCTTCGGTAGTGGGTCGCAGAATCGTCAGAAAACAGTTCCCCATCATTTACCAAAATAGAATCTAAAGCCGGATTTAGAGCAACCGGATTTACGTAGGATAGCACAGAGGGCACGCATTTAATCCAGTTCCGTCCGGGGAGATTTGGTTGGTGGCTTCCCCTTACCACATGAACCGGCAAGTAATGGAGTTCCCACTAATGCTCACCATAGGCCGTAAAGACCCCTCGAACCTCTATGTTCTGTCCAGCTTAACAACGAAAAGTTGAGTTAGCCGGAAGGAAATAGATTATTTCTGAAGAGAGGTGTCATTGATGAGGGTAACAGCTAAGCCAGTGCCGATTTCAAACTTCACGGGATGGCGGTCAACCGGAAGCGTGATTATGTAGAGCGACTGGATCGGCGCGTTGACCAAAAACATTTTGAATATCGCCTCACCATCCCCAGCTGGATTAGGCTAGGTAGCATACGTGTTAGTGTTCGCTAGTCTTTTGGAGAAACGCACTATTTTTATGTGGCCGATTTTCTTGCAAATCCTGCATACAGTCTTCTGGTGTCTACAGTCTGAAAAGGCGCATATGATGCTGACCACAACGTCGGTTACAACTCCTTTGAGAGTGTTCCAATCAGACTCTAGATGTCCGGCATGAACGACATGCAGTTCATTGCTGAAAATTAGTTACTCATGGCGACAAAATCTCTTCGCCAGGAATTCGGCCGAGGTTCAGTCGTACCCACTTGTTGGCTGCATAGGCGGTATTGCCAAAAGAGCATGACATGGCCACTTTTACCGAGCGGTGTTATGGACCTGAGTTCGTCAGGACTAATTAGGTCTTTTGTAAGGGCGAGGTCTAGGCAATTTTCTCCTTGGTCCTCTCTGTTCCTCGTTGGAAACATGACATTCTGTTTCGTTTAACATGTTTTCCGATTGCTCGAGATTTCTTCCGGAAGACTCGTTGATGTGTTTGATGTCGCTTGAATTATATTCTGGGCGTTGAGGCTTGCTTTGCTTGATGAATACGGCTATTATTTCCGTGGATCGATCTATGTCTACTTTTAATTTCGATCTCTAAATGTGGCTTTTTCGTGTCCGTTACAGCTTGTCATTATTTTATTGCATACCATAATTGAGATAGATTTCAGAACTCAACGCTCGCGAAAGCTATGCCTCCAGAGTATCGGCGGTCACTTACATAGCATATCCGACTGACTGAACATTTGCAAGACCCGAAAAGGCAGTTTTATTTTAAATTGAAAGAAAAACGGGCAGGCGGGAAAAAGACAGAGGCGGTTCAGTGTCGAGG